GGGGGGGGGGGGGTGCAGAGCAAGTGTGTGCACCGCACAACCAAGTCGGTAATGCTCCCTCCGGACTGAGGTGTCTCAGCCGAGGCCTGTGGCATCAGGGACCCTGTAGGGACAGACATGCCAGGGGAGAGCCACAGAAAGGTAGGTAGGTAGATAGGTGTATGTACTAGTATGTATGTATGTATGTATCATCTATCCATCTATCATCTAGTATCTATTATCTATCTATCTATCTATCTATCTATCTATCTATCTATCTATCTATCATCTATGTATCTATCTATCACCTATGTATCTATCCATCTATCACCTATCTATCTAATCTATATCTATCCATCCATCTATCATCTATGTATCTATCATCTATCTATCTATCTACCTACCTATCCATCCATCTATCATCTATCTATCTTACTTTCCTCTCTGTTTCTCGTGCCCGAGCCCATGGCAGGCAAGCTGTCCCCAGCTGCTTCTCTAGTCGGCTTAAACTAGGCGAGTGGGGCTGGGACTTCAGGTCTGGGCCAGGTCTCGCGTCTGGCCTCCTTTCCTTTCCAGAAGACCTCCCAGAGTTGCAGCGGCCAATGTAGCCCGAGCAGATTGCTATAGGGCCAAGCAGCGGTCCCTTCCTTCTTGACTGCCAGGGTCCAGGCCTCCCCAGCCAGGTGCCTGAGGAGACCCCTCCCCCACGAGGCCAGGGTCACTGGCAGGGAAAGTGGGTTTCCCTGAGGTGGCTCTGGGTTTCCAGGAGATGGGGCTGGAGGGCCTGTCACTCGCCCTGCACCTGGGAGTCCACGGGGCGACCACACTGCACAGCAGGCAGCACTTAGACATTGGGGTTGTTTCTAGACATCATCGCACTGTGTCTTCCTGACTGTGGCGCGGGCTGGGCTGTATTAGTGGCTACGTTAACAGAGGAGCCGAGGCCCCGAAGAATAACGTGACTCATTCAAGGTCTAGGTCACCAGCTGGTCCAGGTAACCTCAAGACTCTGGCCTCTGACCGCAGGGCACCTCAATGGGCCTCCCTTCCGATGTGGGTCAGGAGTGAAAGCTGAAGGCACAGAGCCTGGGGACCGCAGAGAGCTGCATCTGTCCAGCCACACCAGGTCCCATTAGGGCAGACCCCACGAAGGCCACCTTGTCCTTGTCCCGGCCAGTCAGCCCTGCCTGAGGACAAGCACAGAAGGGCCCTTGCATCGAACTAGGGGAGGAGGTCCCGTGAGAGTGGGTAACGGTGTGCAGACAGGAGGCAGAAGCTCGAGTCCTCGGAGCACCACTAATATTGGTGTGACCTCGGACAGGTCACTGCACCTGACTCCGCAGATCCCTCGCCTGTAAAACGGGGCTACAGAGGGGTCTTCTAGGTGGATGAGAAGAACATGAGAAATGTTTGTGCCTGTGCTATGCACACTGTGGCACACGAGCCAAGGGGCGTCTCTGCCATTAGTAATGGGGACAGAGAGAGGAGGGCACACAAGATTTCCATCTTGAACAGGGACGTTTGCTTCTCTACTTGAGAAGCAAAACCCTTTGTAAACTGTGAGCTACTGTCCACAGCAAGGGAATTGTTAGGAGGCCCAACGTGAGTGATGGATCCATCACTGGGCGGGGCGAGCGCCGTCTCCGCAGATGCGTTCCTGTCCAGCGTGTGAGAATGGCCAGTGACCTTGCCTGTCCTCTGGCCGCTGAGCGGCGACTCTCCTGCAGGGCCCCCATGGCAGCTGCCTGGGCAAGGAAACGGGAACCAGCTCCTCAAGATCCCAAAGAAATGAATGGCAATGACAGGGGTAAAAATATCTGCGCGCTGAGCTCGCTCGCTCAGCGCCTTTCATCTAAGGATCGTTTAGGCTTAATTATAGAGCTCGGTGCTCATTGGGCTTTTGATTAATTTTCTTTTCAGCTTGAAGAGGGTGAGTGTAGTGGGTCTGCGTGTGCGTGCGTGTGTGTTTACATCTTTCTTTGCAACTCAGTTGGGAGCTGGCTCTGGCGGTGTTTAATTGTGTCCGCGGCTGTTCCATGTGCCAAGCAGAGCTGGCGAGGCCGTTGTTCACGCTGCCCCCGCCCCGAGGGCTGCTCCTGCCGGGATGAGGGATGTCAGGGCAGGGCCTCGCTCAGCTGGGGCCTCAGCTGCGCTGCTTGCTCCCTCCTCCTGCGCTTATGGTGCTTCAGGGATCCTAAGACCCCGAGAAACGGACTGCTCCTCGCTAATCGCCAGTGCTGCTGAGAGCTGCCGGGCCGCGCCCCCACGCTGCGCCCAGTGGGCATCTCCGGCCAGTCTCCCTGGGTTACACGGTTCTCGGCATAGAAATCAGTGTTCGCTTATTTTTAATACATTCACTTAGTAGATCGGGCGAGGCTGCATGGCTGCGTAGGAGCAAATGACTGGCTTTCTCCTTCGCTTCCCTCTCTTTTGTGCCCTCCTGGCAGGGAGCACCAGGGAGGCAGCTCAGGGCCTGGGCGAACAGGGGATTTGGAGCAAATGGCCCAGCTTGAACCTGCTCCTGACATTTTCTGTTTGTGTCAACGAGTAAGTCACTTAACGTCTGTGTATCTCAATGCAGTGTTTGTAAAATGGGGATGATAATAATGCTATTACACTCCTCCAAGATGGTCTAGGGGTGAGAAAATGCATATGGAAGCCTTTTGTAAAATATAAATCACAGTTCTTTTATTTTGCTGCTCAGAACATGACTTGACCTGTGAGATAACACGCCTAGCACCTGGACGGAGGGCGTCGTGAAACGACCTCGGATGGGACTGGAGAGGGGACCAGCCTCCAATCTCCCACATGCTGTGGACCAAAGCCATGACCCGGGAGGTAAAATGTGAGCTGCAAAGGGCCCGAGTTAAGAACTCAATTTCAAAACAGAGGCCACAGATCAAACTGATCAAAGGGAACCTGGAACATTCATTTTCTAACATAATTGTAACAAGGACCTCCCCTGTTCTTTAAAGGGTGGATCCAATCGTCTCCAGTGCTAAGAGGGTGATGGTTCAGGGTGGAGCCCAGAGCGGACGGTGGGGCTCAGGTAAGTGTGACTGTGCTGTGATCCGAGGTGTGAGAGGCCCAGGCCCTCCTCTGGGCTCTGCTGCCAAGTAGGGATGTGGCCCTGAGATGAGCTAATTTAACTGGACCTCAATTCCCTCGGGATCGTGGAATAAAAGCTCTCAAAGGTGAGTACAGTGAAGAACCTATGACTTAATGAAATGCTGTTTTCCAGACTGTGTGTGTGTGTGTGTGTGTGTGTGTGTGTAGAATCCAAATGTAATCCTAAGATCAGCCAACTAATCATGGCACTGAATGAGTCCCTTTAAAATGATGGCCTCTGCCGCAGGACCTGGGGCTCTTGGGGACACGCCTGATGGGAGCAGGGAGGGACCTGGAGGTGACTCCCTCTGGAGAGCCTTTCACTTCGCAATATCCTGACTGCGCTGAGGGGCATGATCGAGGCTCACAGACAGAAAAGGGTGTTTTCCTGTAAAACGGCGATCACTTTAAAATAATTGGCTGCAGGGCCCTAGCACATCCGCCAGGAGATTTCAGAATAGAGAGGCCCCGCTGCAGAGTTCACAGTATCACTGACAATGATCACAGTGTAGATTTGGTTATTGTCCAGGGCTTTATCTTTTATAAGTACTTTCCTATCTATTTCTCTCATTTTGTCATCACATAATTTTCAAGAAAACTGGCCTGGAGTCAATTCTTTTAAAATTCTGAAAAGTGTGCATTTTCAGCAGGAACCAGTCTTGCTAAGTGTGTGGTGCCTCGCTTTATAAAGACAGTGCACCCTTGGAAAAGTTATATCTGAATATAACTGTGTAAGTCACATCGTATTTGAGTGGGCAATGGGTATTTGAAAACAGAAATCTCCTATAAGATTGTGTAATATACATAATCCTTTCTTCTTCTTCTCTCTCTTTTTTTGTGTTGTTGTTTTTTTTACAATTTTTAAAGATCAGGTTTTCTTAAAGTAAGATGACATGGATTAGGTTCCAGGATCAGTGTCCACTCTCCAGAATCCCATATGGGTGGCATCTAATTCAACCAGAGGGACACACTGCTGTTTCCAATTCTCAGTGTGGACTACCAGCAGCTTTATATTTCAGCCACGGAGCTCTTTGGGGCTTCCTCCCCTAAACAAAACAAAGCATACCCAGGAAGCATGGAAAGGGACGGAGGAATCCAAATGGAACAGCGGAACTACTTCTAAGGGAACCGTCTCCGGTTTTCTGCAAGTCGCCGGTGGGTCGTCTGTGTGTGTTATAAATGGCTCAGCGTGCCATCAGTAATGAATCTAGGGGGCAGCTCGGGACCGAGGTGTGGGGTTCACACAGTGTCATTCAAAATGGATCTGTTAACCCTCTCCTGTAAGTGAGCACCATCCCTGGGACTAGAACCTGAAAGAAGTTCAGCTAAATTGCACTTTTAATAAAAGTCATAAAAAAGGCCCTCTTGGCTTTCCTGCTCCATCCTCAAACTCTGGCCGAAGACACATCCCTGGAGCCAACCACAGGGCTGTCATAATTGCTCTGAACCTCAACTCTCTCACCAGGCCCACATGTCCATCCATCAAGCCCACAGCAGCATTGTAGGACTTTTAAAATCATCCTACATGGGGGAGGGGCTTGAAAAAGGCACCATATTTATATATCATAGTTCATGATTGGGAATAAAGGGAAAAGCTCTTTGGGGGGGTGATATAAGCTAGAAGAGCTGGAAAAATCCTTATTATAAAAATTAGAAACTCTTTAAAAAGTTTGATATTGGCCTGACCAAAGGAAATACGGTTTCTCATATTTATTGCTTCATGTGAGTAGCTCAGATTTTCATTAAAGAGCTCGAAGTTAAGGCTTAGGAAGTACATCTCACAAAGGCCCAGCAGTTAAAGTTGAGCTTCTGTGAAATCGAGCGGAAAGAATCGAATATATAAGCACAGTGCTTGCTTTGTGCTCCATGCACACGTCAGGAACTTCCGGACCCTGGCACACAAGGTCCAAATCATTCAGAAACTAAAACAACAAACAAACAGGACTGGAATAAGAAAATGCTATTCTTATTTGCTGAAATGTTCTTGAAGCCCTCCATGGATTCTTGGCTTTTACACATTATCTTTTTGTAAAGTTAGGACTAGTAACGGGAACAGAACAAGCAGCTATAAACAAAAATCACAATTCAGGTTTCACTGAGAACATGGCGAAGGCCCCGAATATCATAGTGACTGCAGAGCACAGAAATGACCTATCCAAACGCTGTGATTAAGGGTGCTCCGAATAATCACTTTTTGGAAGGAGGTAGGTAGATGGAACCATTGAGAGTCACCATCGGTTAGTTCACATCAGCACCTTGGACAGCTCCCAGGACTCCCTCTCAGACTAGAGCAAATGTCAACATACCTGCAGTTTCTAAGTGTTCCTTTCATTCCAGTGAGTCTATGGATGATCAGATAACCAACTAATAAATGCACAAGGATTCATTTGTAATAATAACTTATTCCTTCCTCTCCCCACCGCCCATTCTCCTCCACACCCCCCTCCACTCCACCCCCTCCCCCAGCCCCCTCCCATCCGACAGCGGACTGTCTGTCTTACAAACGCCTGGTGTGGATGTGTCACTTCCACTTCTAACTGGTTGGGAAGCAGCATTTGCCACAGGCACTGTTTAGTTTCGTTTCCATTCCCTGCATCTCACAGGAAAATGGTCAATAGTTTGGATAAAAGAATCATCCTGGTCAGCTCCAAATAAAATATGGCTCCTTGCATGGTGTTCACAGCAAGTCTGTTGAAGCAGTGATTTCTTTATTCCTAAGAGGAAGAGATTTTCCCTAAGGGTTATGGTTCTACCACCCAAGGAGCAGCTCTGCTCTTCACAGGTGGCTGCAAAGGCGGGCAAACCGGGAGGTCTGCTTTGGCTCAGAAATTCAGTTTGGCTCCTGCCATCCCTGGCAACCCCACTGCGTGTCTCCACCACGGGTGCTCCACATACTTTCAGGCCAGTCGGCTTCTACTTAGGAGGGATCACAACCAGAGGTGGCCCCCGCTTGGGCCGCCACATGAGGACCTGGGCATCATTGGCGTTGGGTTTCACTAGTGCATTGGGGGGGATGGGTTCCATCCGGCTCAGGATCCGGGGCTGCTCCTGCTGAGTCCTGCCCACCAGCCGGGCCCGTTGCCCCAAGAGCTGAAGAGGGTCCACCTCAATGTCCACCCTCATCCTCCACTTAATGGTCTGCAGAATGATCTTCTCCTTTGTGGTTGTGTTCATGGCTACCAGCCAGGTGGTGAAACTTTGGTCCCTCTTGATCCTGGTGAGCAGTGGCACGTTGCTGTCGCTCACGGGCACTGCCCATGTCACACTGGGGTAGAAGTTGTCGTTCATGCTGACGGAGAACCTGGACATCTTGTTGGTGGGGCCGACCAGGGTCACCGTTTCTGTGGTGTTCCCGTACCAAGGGTAGCTCACCCCATCTGAGTCACTGATGGCTTTTACTCTCCCTTCCCTCAAGTCAGGCAGCTCCCAGCTCGACCTGGCAAAGCAGAAGAGATGCACAGAAAGGAAGAGGCTGAATGAATTTTTCAAAAGCTGGAGAGGTGCCCACCACTTCCTAACACAGCCAACTTGGGCAAAATGGAAAGTTCAGAGGGGAATTCAGATAAAAAAGTTCCATGCTGTGCTGTTTCATGATTAAATAGGAACAAATGAAAACAAAACAAAAATTAAAAAGCAACACCAAAACAAGTTAAATAAAGCCATAGCTGGTCCAACTGGAAGCAGAAAACTCAAATAGGCATTTGTGAGACCCACAAGGAGGCATCGACTATTAGGGATGGTGGAATTATAACCAAGTGTGTAAGGAATTCACTGTAAAACCCACTTTCTTGGGAATTATGAGTGTGTGAGGTTTGTTTGTTGGGAAGAGGTGCTGGTTAAGGTTTGATGTACTTGGAAGGAACTATTAGGTTGTAAGAGGGCAAAAGGTGGCAAAGTGAAAGGTTACATCAATTCTTAGGAAATCCCAGTAGTGGAATTTCTACTCAACAAAGAAGGTTGTTTAAGCCCCAGTCACTGGCCAACCCAACTTAGAAAATATAGACATAGAACCTGGTGACACAAGGAGTTAAGCATCACCTCTGGAACCACCTCAATATGAACGCTGTGTGAAGGCTGGCAGACAAAGTCTCTCAGAGCGATTCTCTCACTGGCTTCACGTCCAGTCTGGAAGTCTAATTGCTTCGTTTAGCAAATTTGCCATCTGGGCATTTTGCTACTCTTCCTGGCTGTCCCCAACCTTGTACAGAAGGAAGGAAGAGGACATGTGCCCAACTCTTAGCCCATGTCTCTCTCCCCTGCCATGGACTCATTACCAACACATCACCATCACCACCACCACCACCATCACCACTGTCACCGTCACCATTATTACTATCATCACCATCATCACCACCACCACCACCACCACCACCACCATCACCACTGTCACCATCACTATTATTACCATCACCATCACTACTACCATTATCACCATCATCACCATCATCACCACCACCACCACCACCACCACCATCGTCACCACTGTCACCATCACCATTATTACCATCATCATCACTACCACCATTATCACCATCATCACCATTATCAACACCATTATTATAATCACCATCACCACCATCATCATCACCATCATCATCATGATCACCATCATTACTGTCATCAGCAGCAGCATCACTATCGCGATCATCATCATCATCACCAACATCATTACCATTATCACCACCATCATAGCTGGCACTTATTGAGCACTTGCTCTATTCCAACCACTGTGCTAAGTGCCATTGCGATCATCATCACCATCATCACCAACTTCATTACCATCATCACCACCATCATCATAGCTGGCACTTTTTGAGCACTTGCTCTATTCCAACCACTGTGCTAAGTGCTTTATGTTTTCTTAGTCCATGCTTAAAATATACTGCAAGATAAATGAATTTTTATTTCCATTTTAGATGTAAGAGGATGGAGGCACTTCAAATTCTAGACGGGCCAAACCAAACTCGCCTTGTTCACGGTAAAGTGGGCCCTTTCCCCATTTCTGCTGCAGGGGTGGCCCAGTGCTAACTGTCTTCCAGGGTCAGAGGTGAGGCCATCTTTGGCTTCTCCTATACCCTCTCCTGGACTGCCACACCTACTGCATCACCACATCCTGTGAATCTTGCTCCATAAATGATGCTTGAATTTATCTCCTTTTCTGCATCCAACTCTCACTGCCCTCAGCATCTCTGACCTGGTCTATGGTAACGGTCTCTAACTGGTCTCTCAGAGATGCAGATCTGATTGTGCCCTTTCTATGTCTAAAACCCTCCAAAGGCTCCTCTACCTGGGCACCACTGGCTTCACCCACAGCATAAAATTCAAGTTCATCAATAGGACATAAGTGGCTCTCAAGGTCTGGCCTCTTCATCCCCACACACTATTCTGTTTCTCACCTCTTCCCCTTTGCTCATGCTCCGCCCTCTGCCCACACCATTTCCTCCCTCCTAGTCTCATTGTACCTAACTACTCTTCCTCTGAGAATCACTGAATGTGTCACCTCCGCCAGGAAGCCCTCTCTTCCATGCTCCTAGGGATGTATTCAGACCTTCACAGGCCCCGATTAGAATGATCTGTTTTTGTGTCTGTCTTTCTCTTTAGGTTATGATTGCCTTCAGGCTTGGAACTGTGACTTATTTTTGAATCACTGGTGTCTAGCACATTGCTGATAATAATAGATCTTAATAAATCTCCACCAAAGGAATAAGTAAATATTTGACTGGAATCATTTTCATGCCTCTATGCCTGTAGCCTGGTAGAACTTGTATACAACAAAGCACTTTACCACAGGTTTACACTTTATATGTTCACTCACCTTAAAAAACAACAGCACACTAGCATCTACTATTCACTTAGGGCAGGGGTCCTCAAACTACGGCCCGCGGGCCACATGCAAATACAAATACTGTATTTTTTTCCGTTTTGTTTTTTTACTTCAAAATAAGATATGTGCAGTGTGCATAGGAATTTGTTCATAGTTTTTTTAAAACTATAGTCCGGCCCTCCAACGGTCTGAGGGACAGTGAACTGGGCCCCTGTTTAAAAAGTTTGAGGACCCCTGACTTAGGGTCTACTATTAGAACAGCTCCATGCCTAACGCTGAAGGTTATGTGTGCTTAAGGGGGAGGGGGAGGAGCCCTGGGCCTTCTCCGTGCAGCACCAGCAGCACCTGTCGGAGGCAGGGACCAGCGTACGCTGTTCACACAAGCAAAGGCTCCTCTGAGCGAAACGGGCTGAGAAGCAGCTGGGCCCTCCTACGTCCGAGCGACGACAGGGGCCAGTGAAGCGGTGTGTGCAGGTGCTCGGAAGCGCTAACACGCCGGGCCAATGTGAGTTATGATCTCGTCCCTCCTTCTCGAGAACCACAGCCTCTTCTCCTCGCTGTGATAAGCACAGTGTTTGCGTTTTAGACAATCAGCCATTGACCCAGCACTCACAGCTAATGGACTCGCCAATGGAGCTAATAATGAAAACATCGATTACTGCGACCTTCACGCTTCCTGCGTCTCTTTTATAAAAGAAAGAGGCAAATCTCAAACAAGCTCGTGTGAAGCATTTCATTCAAATAAGTGGGCCCTGGGTGAAGGTCCAGGTGCCACCAGACCGGCCAGGTCTCCAGTGCCCACCGGGCACAGCCACTCTCTGAAGAGCCCACTTGGCTCCCCAAAGCCCTGTGGTCACTGAGGAGATGGGAGCCGGCGTTCTGGAAGGCAGGGCCCGGGCAGGTGTGGGATGGGAGCAGGGGGATCACACACGGAAGGTGCCCACAGACCTCCCAGGGAGGCTCGGAGATTCGTGATGGAGCTCCCCCGCCCAGGTGACAGGAGTCCCTGCCTCGTCCCTCACGTAGAGGGGCTGGGACACCCACTCGGGTGACTTCTGGCTGTGCCCCTCCACACTGAGTGACAGGACCTGGGGCTAAGAGGACCAGAGCCCCTCCTTCCAGACCACACTCTGGGGACCTGAGGCCTCAGTATTCCCACCCAAGTGGCCCCAAGCTCACAGTGACGGAGTCCCCACTTGGGGATGTGGAAAGTTAGGTTACGGGAACACCACACTGAGGACCAGGCTGAGGAGAGCAGTGTGCCCATGTGCCAGCCAGTGCCACTCGACATGGCACACCCACCGCCCCACACTGTTCTGTCTCCCAAGCCCCTCCAGGAAGGAGCTGGAAATAAGCCCGGGTGGGAGGTAAGAGAGGGGAGCGGATGGAGACCCCCTCAAGGGCAGGTGCGGGGAGAGGGCTGTGCTGGGAGGTGGGGGCGGCAGGGGCGTGTCACCTGACGAGTCACGAAGCCACAGCCTCTGGGTGGCCTGTCCACCCACGCGGATGCCAATCCCAGCCCCGGCACTGGCCCGGGTCCTGATTCTCAGATGGTTTGCACCAAAATTACAGAGTAAGTTTAAAATTAGGTTTTCCTCCTGCTGCACTGTGTATGTCAGACTCGGAAGCCTGTGACTACCACCTCCCACCGCCCCTCCGCCCCCTCCTTCCGACCACATCCTTTCCTGACTGCGTGTGAGACACTTTCCCACAGCAGAAAGGCCCTGTTCAGGGTTTTAAAGAGCCTCCGTGTGTGGAGGGCCCGGGCTGGGCCTCCCTCGTCGGGTCCTCCTGTTCTGCTTGGACTGGTCCCCTGGCGACACCTTCTCGTTATGGGCTCCGCCTTCAGGGTCAGAGTTCAGGTCCTCTCGGTGGGCTGTCAGAGGCCCCGCTGGCTGGCTCCCACAGACAGCCCTGAGGTCTCGAGTGGGTGATGTCTGAGCTTCCTGGAACAAAGCGGCTCCCCCAACAGAGCTGCGGGCCAGGAGCCCCAACACGTCCTCACACAGGCCTGTGGCTGCTGTGCTGACCGCAGGGGCCTGTGCTGGGCGCCCCTCAAGTCCACAGCCTCCCTGAGGTGCCGGGTCAGAGGGCCTCCGAGGGGTCAGACTCCAGCCTTTGTCTTCTCCATCCACGTGGCTGCCCTGGCCCCAGGCACGCCTTCTCTCCAGGCCACCGAATGGTCTTGCTGGGCCTCCGTCCACGCTGCCCAGCCTGGCCCCACAAGCCAGGAAAGTGATCGTTAAGAACGTAAATCAGATCACGAGGCATCTCTCTGAGACCCCCACGCTGGCCTCTGAGCACTTTCAACACCAGGGTGCACCCCGACCTTCTCTTCCTGGAGCAGGACCAGCGCCTCGCACCTCTGGTGGGTCCCTGCAGGATATCGGGTCCTCCCCTCTCCAGTCCCCGCCTGCGCTGCACAGATCCTTGTGGCTCAGCTGTTGATCAAGACACAGCTGCTTTTTGGGGGCTGAATCCAATGCTCCCATGGCGACGACGGATGTGAACATGGACGCGCCAGGCCCCTGCTCCCAGCTGCCAGTGCTTCTGCCTCCTCTTCCAGGAGCTCAAAGTTTCCACCAAATAACGCCTGGGAGGGAGGGCAAAGG